ATGGTGCATGGGTTAAGTGGTAGTAGAAATTCTAAGAAGACTACACCTGAGAAAAGAAAACAAACACTGTACAAAAATGAACAATGATGTAAAATATATACATGAATAAATAATGTATTAAAATATACCTTCAAATATTAAAAAAATACAACAATGGTATTTTAATTAAAAATTAAGATTTTTGAGGCCTAGTTAGGAAAGTATTCCCCATTCTGTTTAAAGATGATTCACTCTTGTTTTCTGCTAATACATACATGGTTTCAGTTTTTACGCTTACATTTCTTATATATTTTCAGCCTATAATTAGCATAAAGTATATACTGCAAAAACCTAACATTTTATCTTTTTATGGCTGTTCAATGATCCTAATCCCATACATCAGTAAGTTTATGTCTCTCTACTAATTTAACATACTGTTTATAGTATATATCATATTTCTCTTTTTCACTGGGCTATTTATTTGTGACCAATGTAAGAGTTTTAATTATAGAGGCTTTAGAAACTAGTTTATATGAGGAAGGCTGATCTGCCCCTCTTGAATTTTAAGAGTTTTGGGCTATTATTGTTTTTTATTTTCCATGTATATGTCATAACCAAATTTAGCTATAAAATAAAACCTGACTGACATAATGTTAATTAAATCGTCATATCTATGAATGTGTTATCTTTCCACTAGCACAATTCTACTTTTGTGTCTTTTTGTACAATTTCATAATTTTCTTTTGAATGCTTTGGAAGTTTCCTATCAGACATTTTTTTACTTATGGTTTATGTAGGTCATGAATATGTTTGTATTATGCATTAGTGCAAGAAGTGATTCTCACACACATTAGAAATGTAATGTAAACTACAAAATTTACATTGCTATTTATTGCTATTGAAACACTTGTAATACTTGGTACAGTGTAATAACCAAAGGGGTCTGAGAGGCCAAGCCCTTCAATGTAATTAAAGAGTTTGATCAAAATACAGCTTGTAGAGTGAATGAAATCTTAGAAGACAGTTTCCAAAATGTGCAGCCCAAATTGAGACTGATGAAAGATAAGCCGTACAGATTAATGATTCAAAGTGTTACCTGTAGCTAAAATTGTAAACTGTTACAGGTGGTGCCCCCTGGAGGTGTTTGCTGGTAAAATATAGAGGGCCCCAGGAAAACACTAAAAGTGGGGTGGAGCAATAGAAAAATTATATAAAGGACTGAAAAACAGGCCTGAGGAGCTCTGCACATGAGAGAGAAAGAGAGACATGTGGTAGGAGGCCCGTGCATATGGACAAGCTAGGCCAAGCAGTTGCCACAGCAGTGCAGCAACATGGTGGTGGCACAGGGCCCCTGGACAGCTCCGCGAAGGCGTCACAGAACTGGGCTTTGTGGTGTGGGCCACATGGTGACGACTACCATGTATGGCCCTGTTTGAACAGTCATTTTGAAATAGTTTTATTAGGACTGGTGGAGAGAAGGGAGACCTGGAGAAACAGGCATCTTGCCAAAGTGTGGCCTGGATAGGACAGAAGACCTGAGCCAGGTGTCTTGCTGAAATGTGTGAGTGCGGCCATTTTTGGGTCTCTCAGTCACTACAGCCGTTGTCTTGAGCATTGCTTGTTTGGTGCTGTGCTGGGGCATTTTGGCAGCCGTGTTTATAAGCTGGATCCTGGCCTATAGGCTGGCTGCCACATGTACACAGCAGCAGGAAGATGCCATTGTGGCTTATTGTTTGGGAGAGGAGCTCCCAAACATACAGTTTCCACCACATGTTAAACTGTTTTTCAAACTTGGAACATTCTTATTCAACAACAAGATCTGGCTGTTATACAGCTTCAGATCTAATTTTCACAGAGCATTAAAAGATAGCTGTTAAAAGGGGAAAGCTGCATTAAGTCCAGGGCAACTTGCGTCCTTAAAGTGATGTGTGGTGAACTAAAAACATCTCAACACAAATATTATTATATGCAGAACTGAGATCACACATCTCCACATTTACCTAAATAAGAGAAAAATATAATTAGAGTTTTTTAAAGCCAAAAGTAAATTTGATTTGGCTTTTCATTTGAAAATAAGGGCTCACTTTGCCTTTTAGGTTTACATGACTAATGCCATTCTTATAGTAAATAGTAACTCTATAAACAGAAGAACTTGAAAAAAATGGACTTATAAATTTTTTAAAGATTTATTTATTTATGCATATAAGAACTGGGGGACAGGCCAGTGGTACAGGGATGGTGAGATGATTCACCAGAGACAGAGTATATCTGCAGAACAGGCAGATATACTGAAATACACTGCTGAGAGGAGCAGTGGGTAGGTCAGGAGAGGTCTGCCAAGCCATGTGGGTCAACTCCCTGGATGGGGATAGAACTCAAGCTGCAGTGGCTGCAGACAGCCTAATAGGGCTACACCATAGGTAGGGCCCCAAAATGGATTTTTTTTAAACTTTTTTTTAAACTTAAGGTTAAAAGCCTCAGTAAAAACTATCAGTAAAAATGACTGAAAACTGTAATATTTCAATTTCTTCAAATCATACTGATAACATATTAGGTTTAGAAAATGCCTATGACACTCATCACCATACACCATTACAAATACAAGTTACAAATATACTTTGGTTAGATGTTAACTAAATAATTGTAGTGATCCTTTCATAATTCATACATAACTTAAATCATTGCATTGTATACCTAAACTAATCCAAATTTACATGTCAATTATACAAACAAAAGAAAATAAATTGGTTAGCTTTGCTATTTCTGGGCTCAGATCACCTTGTTAATAGAATCAGCAGAGCCATGAAGCACAGAATTCCAATTTGATATACTGAAAACAATAACAAAATTTAAAACAAAAGTATGATATCAATTTGATCTCTTTGGCCCTTTTTAATTACCTAGAAAAAATTTACATAATTTTAGTAACTATGTCAGACCTAATTGTTATTCTCCTTTACTTATATATTGCATTTTATAATTAAAATTTTTTAAAAATTTAAAAATATTTATTTATTTATGCATACAGAACTGGGGTACAGGCCAGAGGTACAGGGGAAGTAAGAGGATTCACCAGAGACAGAGTGGGGAGCAAAATAGGCAGATCTACAAAGTACACTGCTGAGGGGAGCAGCGGGAGGGTCAGGAGAGTTCTGCTGTCCATGTGGTTCACCTCTGGGGCTGGGGCTTTAGCTTCTTAGTGCTGTGCTTTAACCTGCTGTGCCACCACGGAGGGCCCTAGTTAAAAAATTTTTAACCTACATTTTCTTATTTGATGTTTACATCTGTTTTCATTGCATTTGTTCTTTTAGGAATGGTGTCTTCAAAAATCATTTTTAAAAAGTGCTTATGAATAATGTGGTGTTTATTATTTGGTAAATCTTGACAATTCTTTCGGATGGCTCTCCAGAATTTAATAATTTCTTACTGAGTAACAAATCACTTTCTATGTTAAATGGCTTCCAAATCTTGGCTATTAAACACATTTGAAGGAGAACTTAGCCAGGAACAGATAAAAGATTATTATAATTTTTAATAGATCATTATATGACTAACTATAAAAGTTTCAAAGAATTAAAAGTCAGTACTATCACAGGACTTTTCCATGCTCATATACTTACTTACATATTAAATTTCTTCAAGATTTGGGGCTTATGTCAATAAAAATGAAATAACACTGAAGTTTTTCTAGTTTTATCAGTAAGTTATGTTCAATAACAGACATATAAAATAAATGAAAAAACTGTCCCTTATTAAAGCATGTCTTTACTAAAATTTAATTTCCATATTAGCAATTATATATCAATAGTTGAAACACACCTATATTGTTTAATTTTGCAACTATAAAAAATTTGATGCATATATTTTCCTACTATAGCTTAATGATAACATGAAATTTGAAAATCTGATTTTATATATATATATATAAAACAACATGTTCCCCTCTATCTATATCTATATATCTATATAGACATCTATATAGATATATGTTAAATATATAAATATATTATCTATATCTATATCTATCCATATAGATAGATGTATCATCAATATTGATATATATCTATATATAGATATAGATATATATCACATCACATTATATTCATTTACATTGCAGCATAAAATGTATCTTGAATAGAATAAAATTTTGCATGGGTACAGCATTGAAATGTAAAATCAAGAAAAAGAATCTAATACAAAATTCCTTATTGTTACAGAAGAATTTCTTTTTATACTTTTTTAAAAGAGTTATTTATTTATGCATACAGAACTGGGGTACAGGCCAGAGGTGTAGGGGCGGTGAGGTGAGAGGACTCACCAGAGGCAGTCTAGAGAGAAGAACAGGCAGATCAATGAAGTACACTGCCTAGGGAAGCAGTGAGTAGGTAAGAAGAGGTCTGCCACGCCATGTGGGTCACTTCCAGGGCCAGAGATTGTACTCACACTAAAGCGGCTGTGGCTAGCTTGCAGCGTTGTGCTTTAACCTGTTGTGCCACCAGGAAGGGCCTATCTTTATACTTTTAAAGAAGTGATGGTACATATCAAACTTTATCAGATACATTTAAAATTGAAATATTTGTAAAACAGATGCTATGAATTATTTTCTTTCAAGACTGTGGAATTATGAATAATTTTTTATGTTCAACACTGAAGTGTGTGAACAAGGTAGTCTTAAAAAGTTCAAAGTGTAATTAAACAGGTTAAGAAATGGTAGATATAGGATTAGGAGACAGGGCTTGGGATTCCAGAAGTGTAGGCTCCTGAGAATTTCTGGAAGTAGTTTTAAAGAGTAAAATTTCAGTTAATTCTGACAGTGCTGACTGGGGCAAAGTAGGAACTAAAATGTTACATATTTTCCCAATGTACTGTGGGCAAGGGAAAAAGAAGCCAGGTGTTGTCTTTGTGTATCTGTATAAACTGAAAATCAAACCACAGCAGAGCAAAAACCAACTAAACCAGACAATCATGCAAAGTGTAAGTTCACTCCTTCAGCAGAGACTCTGCTGGGTGCCAGTACTCACATTCAGACTCTCGCCCAGGGCTGACTTGGAGGTGTCCTCATCGCTGTCCATCCCTGACAGTCCCAGCTGTTCCACCTAGAGCACACACACAACTAGGTCATGCCCAGGTGAAATTCAGTTCAAACAAAGAAGTCTTCCTTAGCAATTATTAGACAAAAATGCCAGTGTAGTCACGTGTCTAGTAGTATTCACACTAAAATTATGGCTATGTTCCTCAGCTTATAGATGCGAAAGCTATTCTCAAACAGCCTCTATCGAAAGAGCACACTAATTTGAAAATTGTGATTTTCTTTCTTTAACCAAAGCATCTCTGACTCAGAAAATATGCAATTAAAAAGTAGTGAGCATGACTAATGGAGATAGCTCAGTTTACCACTACAATGCTCATTGATTGGGTATACACAGAAATAATTCACCAATCCTATAAAAGAGAAACAATAATATCTCACTTCTTGTTTACAGAAAGTTTTACATGAAGGAGGGAGGGTGACAGAATGGATGTTGAGGGAAGAAGAAAGGAAGAGGAGTGAAGGATGGTGGGAGGGAGGAAGAGGGAGTCTCAAGGAACCTGATGTAAAAGAGACACACTGAGCACAGATCTTCAAAGGACACTGGAAACTTGTGGGAAAGCACATATTATCAGAATAAAGAATAAACAATCAGCAAAGTACTAGAAAAAGTAAAGAAAACATGAACTGAGTTTGTGAGATGCTTCTAAGGACGGACATATCCACTAGTTCAACTACGGGCTCCTTCTGGACCTCGGCCTTACCTGAGTCTTGTCACATCTGGCACTAAAGCCCAATTCTGAATCTCTGCATGGCTGTGGTCAAGCTTTGCCTCAGTGTTCCCACCAGTGAACCTGGGTGAATGGGGATTCCAACATCACAGGTCCTTGTAGGCCGGGCTTGACAGTTACAGCTTGTTGCACATGTACAGACCCTGCAGCAGAGTCCTGACAACACCAGTCCCCTTCCTCACACCACTTAAGAAGCTTAATACGGCAGAGAGCTCCAAACTGAGTGGTAGCATTTAAGCCAAACATCTAAAATAACGATTTTACCTTTTTGAGTCTTATATACCAACCAAAAGGAAAATACTAGACATTAGGAAAAATGTATCTATTTGACAAATATAAAAGGGAAAAAATTGCAATTTTCCCTTTTATTGGTAGTTAGCTATGGTTTTAAAAGTGTCATGAATTATGTTAAACATCTTGAACTTCCATTACACGATGACTTTAAATTACTCTGTGATTTTTGTATGCAAAATATGACTTTAAGATTTATTTCATAAAAATCAACAAGCCTAATAAAATTAACCTACCAAACAGCTTATTCCCAAATCATTTGGGAAGACCAAGAATATCTAACATTTACTAGTAAATGATTATGCTTCTCTACAATATGCCATAAGTGTAGCTTCTCAAGTCTTCCATTCGTGAATGGGAATACTGATAATCAATAAATAGGATTTCAAAAATGATGGCTCACCAATACCAAGAGTATTCACTGAGCTGCAACACAGGCCAGGTGCTATACATATACCAGCAGGACATGTTGGATGTCCTGTTAGCCCCAAGCCTAGTATACTGGTGAGTATATACCATCACCCAAGAGAACTTCTTTAGGAATCAAGATTAGAAGTGCAAATCAATGATTTTGATGTATACTGATAAACTCACATTTATCTGAAGGAATTAACATTCTCTATTTTTAAAAATTCCAAGATATCTTAAGTGTTACTATCTCAGAAACTAAATTTATACAATGCAAAGTCAAATACATGCCAATTACCTTACTGTTGCTCCTTTTATTAACTTTGAAAAATCCCAGAATTTTTTTCTTCTCTTTTTCTGTATCATCATTACCAAGTGATGATTTTCTAAAGGTTTCTGGAGGAAAAAAAAAAAAAACATTATTTTTCAGTATATGAAATGAGATTAAAAAACATTTCACTAAATGAGAAGGTGAGACTTAAGGGATCTGAGTTCATGAGAAATCTTATTTCATTTTAAAAACATTTATTTATTCATACAGACTGAGGTACAGGCCAGAGGTGCAGAGTAAAAAAAAAAAAAAAACATTTCATTAAAAATTCTTAGCCCTGGCCCTCCCTGGTGGCGCAGGTTAAAGCACAGCACTGAGAAGTTAAAGCCACTTCCGAATGAGTTCAATTCCCGCCTGCCCCGGAGGTGACCACATGGCGTGGCAGACCTCTCCTGGCCCACCAGCTGCTCCCCTCAGCAGTGTACTTCTTCGTCCATCTGCCTGTTCTGCTCCCCACTCTGTCTCTGGTGAGCTTCTGGCCTGTACCCCAGTTCTTTATGTATAAATAAATAAACCTTCAAAAAATAAATAAAATAAAAAAATAAAAATTCTCAATAAATTAATCCTCTACTCAAACTTTATTTAATTTATATAATAAACAACTATATTTTTTTCAAAGCTTTTTGAGCTTCCTCAGAGTTATCAGCCCCATTTATGAAATCCCTTAAATCTCTTAAAATCCTTTAGTGGTCATGGTGGAATTTTTCTCTGGATGTGACTCTACCCTTTTTTAGATTAATAAAGTATCTAAAAGCTCTAGGCCGTGTCACTAAACAGAAAAATAAAGTAAACCACATTTTCTGATACTTGCTCAAAAAGAACAAGGCTACATTAATTTTATCTTTTCTTTAAGATATATTTTTGCACAAAAGAGCTGGAGACAGGGTACAGGGGGTGAGAGGATCCACCAGAGACAGAGTGGGGAACAGAACAGGCAGATGTACTGAAGTACACTGCTGAGGGAAGCAGTGGGCAAGACAGGAGAGGTCATCTGTGCCATGTGGGTCACCTCCCTGGCTGGGGATTGAACTCACGCTGCAGTGGCTGCCAATAGCTTCATAGTTCTGAGATTTAACCCTTTGCATCACTAGGGAGTCCCAAAATTAATTTGAATAATATATTTTTAAACCATTCTTAAAATATTATCATTTTATAATGCAAACAATATAAAATTACAAATTATATATTTTACATTAATTTTAGTGTGCAGTTTACAAAATGCAGTGTGCAGAAAAGCTTGCACTTTTCAAGTGCCCACAGCCATGCTTGGATTATGACTATCACAATGGACAACACAGCTCCAGGGACTACTACATCTGTGCAAATATCTGCTTTAGAAATTAACAGTAAGGAAAAAATGCTACCTAATACCTTCTTGCTGGAAGATCATTTTCTCATTTCCAGAACATGGAAGAATATCCACAGTTAACACAGTTGGCTCACGAAATAATTATGACACCTTCCAGGGTTTACACCTCCACACTTCCCTACCTCCATCCCAGTCAGAATGTTTTCAGTTATAGTCTCTAGGGAACCCCCTTTTTTAATTTTATAATTCATGATTTCTAAACCTCCCATCTCCCTTTCTTGGTGTTTTCTTCATGGGAAGTTTAGAACTAGAATGGGTCTTTCTCATGTTCCAGATGGGGATTCTGAAGCCCAGATTTGTCAAGCAGCTAACAACCACAGGCCGTTCCCAGGATGGAGGAGCTGGCACGTCTGGGCACACCGCAGAGTCCCAGTTGGAAACTCTGGAGTAGGGACTAGCAATCTCCCTGAGGATACTCAAACTGCATGGACTGCACTTGAAGCCTGGTGGAATGTGGGTGGGTATACTAGTGTAAAATGCCTCACTGCTTCAAGCCTTAATTTCCTCATCTGCAGACTGGAGGTCAGTCTGATAACTGACTGTCTGGCATATATCAGTAACTTCATGACTGTCGGTCACCATGATTCATGGATTGCTAAAACTCCACTGCAGGCCTTTGTCACTAACTTTGACAGAAAGTGAATTTCCCCATACCACTGTCAATGCTGGATGTCAGATTGCCAGTCCATTAGTGGAAAAATCTGGACTAGGACCTCCAGAACGAACCCAAACAAGACAGGGTCAATCAACTTCATCTCCTATGAGGAGTTTCATACTCCCACTAGGAAAAGTCAGTGAATTAGTAACATTTGAATCAACACAAATATTGTCAGTCCCACAAAGCACAAATCATTATCTAAGGGACAAAAGCCTCTGAGTTTTCATCACAAAAACCCGAGCCCCTCAGTCACAGCAGGCAGGCTGGTCAATTGCCTCCACATCACACAGCATCCAAACAGTGGGTGACTTGCCCAGTCACAATGCATGTGCCCAGGTATGTACACATGTACACAGATTTCACAGTTAGTCACCTCAAACCCTCAGGTAAGCCTGACAATTAAAGGGTAAGATATACTATACTACTACAGATTAAAGATCTATGCAAACCAGAGCATGCATTAGTGTGGGTCTTGATAATCTGTCTCCAAAACTGTGCAGTATAAGCACAGATATAATAAAGTGCTGCCATCCAGCACATGGCTGGTAAACACAAGCGGGAACATGCTGGAGCACACAGGCTGCTATATCAACCACAAGAACCAAAGACCAGGTTACAAAACTTCCAGAAAAGCCAGCCTCTTGCTTCTCTACCTAACAGTGAACCTGATCAGTTACTACCCTACAAGGATACCCTGGCACCACCATTGTGATCCAAGAAGCGCTTTCCATTCAGCCATGGTGCAGTGGTGGAGAGAGCAGGGCTTTGGATGGGCTCGAAACTAGTCCCAAAGCACTGGTCTATTTTTAGAGCCCAGGGTTCAGTGTCTTTGTACAAATAGTGGCCTACCATGAGGACACTGTGACTTGGCAGACATTGCAAAAGGATCCGTTTGGACATTTGGTTTTCTCACAGGATTTGAAGCAGTCCAAACTTCCCCTGGTGCCCTGCTGTAGCCAGTGTGGAAATGACCACTGACACACAATCAGGTCTGAAGTACTACGAATGGGACCTGTGACACAGGGATGAAAGTATGGTAACAAACATGAATTTACTGCTTTGATTTACTATAATAATGAAACAAATATTGTAAGAGCTTAGGGCTGATAGTACTAAATGTGTAAGAAGTGTGTAATGTTTTGAATTATTAAAATGGCTTTGAAAATGATACAGATGGACTGAAGGGGACAGAGGGATTGAGCCCTTAAAGGCCAGCTAATCCAAACCATTCACTTTTCCAAATGAAAAAATTGTAAGGAAGTGTTGTATAGGGACCAAAACAAAGTTACCAAGGAAGTTACTGGAAGAGGAAGATTAGACCAGTGCTCTTAAGATGCACAGGGTGTTTTTTTTTTTTTTTTCAGAAATTTTATTTTTTAAGATTTGTTTATTTATGCTTACAGAACTGGGGTACAGGCCAGAGGCACAGGGCCGGTAAGAAGATTCATCAGAGACAGAGTAGGGAGCAGAACAGGCCAACTGATGAACTACACTGCTAAGGGGAGCAGCAGACAAGACAGAAGAGGTCTGCCGTGCCATGTGGATCACCTCCCAGAGCCGGGAATCAAACTCACACTGATATGGTTATGGCTTGCTTCCAGTGCTATTCCCTAATCTGTTATATCACCAGGGAGGGCCCAGGATACACAGGTTTCTAGTGGTGGTCACCATCATAAGACCGATGGCCTGCTCTTCTCTGCTGTTCATGGCTTGTGTATTTTCCAAATCAAATCCTTTACAGCTGCAAAGCCTTTATATATGTGAGTTTTCTGCTGAAAACGACCACCCAGTCATGGTGCTTCTTAAAACAGAATTGGTACACTTAGAAAATCTATACTGTATGAGTAGGTAAACATGAGATGGTGACCCCGGCCATGGCCATGGCACAGTTAAACATGACGCCCACAGTTTGAGAGTCCAGATCAATGTTGAATATTCTTCCACTAATTTTTTCCATAAATAAAATATATTAAATAAATTTTAAAATACAGACAGAAATTTCTTCTGTATAGGACAAGTATCATTGGAATTTCGATGAACCTTTTGGAGACAGTGTGTGAGTATGTATATGTGTGTGACTATGTATACATGAGTACAGTCCAAAAGGTTCACTAAAAATTCATGTGTGTACATGTGTGTACATATACACATGTGTATGCACATCATTAATGAGAAATAGGTATCTCAATAAATGAAAATCTGAACCAACTATTTATCTAATTGTTCAATACATTCAGTAAAGGTTCAGTCTCATAATCTACACTGCCCCAAATTTTAGAGCAGGCAGAATAGATCTAGAAGGCAGACAAACACAGGCGAACACAGGTAAATAGAGGCAGAGGTAAGGAGGAATGGTGCTTCTTCTGTATACCATTACTACTTTGAAATTCTGTATTCACAAAGGACCTGTTTTATGCAATGGCCTTCTCCAATCCTTATCAATTAAAACCGCGGGGCAAATTCTCACACAGGAACATTCTTTTAGCCAACCAGAAGTCAAGAAGCCAAACCACAAACTCATTTCAGCCCCCCCCAAGTACCCTAGGGGTACCCTAAGTCACACATCTCCTCCCACAGGCCCTGCACATAGAAGTGTTCATGCATCATCCTGGCACAGAGCCATGCACAGGGCAGGGTGGCTGGAGCAGCATTTGGCTATTGGTACCTCGATGGCTCAAGGAAGGTTCCGACTGGGTTTTGGTGAGAAGAACTGGAAAAGGTAGGCAATAAGAGAATGAGAGACAGCAACACCTGACCAGAGCCTCAGACTTCCATAATCCTTTCTATGGGGGCCATCCTTCTCCAGGCAGTAGCAGGCCAAATGCAAAGCAGGCCTGTATTCCTGGCCTTGACTGTTCAGAGTCTCACTACAAAGTTGTTAAACATCACCATGGTAGTAGCAGGAGGTAGCAAAGTCTTCTGGGTTTTTTTTTTTTTTCCTCCAAACTTCTATACCAAGCATTCCAAAGGAAGGGACTCTACCTAGCAACCTACGTTGCCAGAGGCATTCACCCCTTCACAAGAGTTTCTGGCATGGGAAGGGACAAGCACAGAAGAGAGCTCTTGGAACTTGTTGTAGAATGTCATCTTTACTTCTCAAATATCTGACAGTCAGTCAGATCAGATGGAGGCATTTGGCAGGGGTGAAAAGCAACTATTTCACAGTTGATGGTACAGCATGGTCCAGATGAAAGAGATGTGAATATGGGACTGGAAAAGGGTCCCTGTGCCATGTCAAATTATTTCTTTATCTTCTGGGAGGCTGCTGGGAATCCAGGGAAAAGGCCCCTTAGAAGCGTCCTGAGGCACAGAATGGACCAGGGAATGGAGCTCAGTTCTTTCCCCAAGTGCTATTTGGTCCAAATTTCAAGACACAGATTGGTTGCACTTGTGTGTCCCACCCAGTGTGGGGATCGAAAGAGCAGTCTCCAGGCTTTTTTTTTTTTTTTTTTAAGCATCATTCTTCATTTTGTGCATTTTTACATCTCACTTGTAATCCCCATGGGCTTTCTACCACCAATTCACGTGTGTGCCATTGCCATAGCCCCATGCACTCTTCCCACCCCAGTTCTGATCCCATTCCCCTTTCCACCCCCTATTATGTCCTGGTTTATAGTTGTTCATTGTTTTCATTTTTACTCTATACATTTGCTTCTCTCTGTCTCCCCCCCCACCCCCCCTGCCCCGGATCCCTTAAACTCCTGCTATGAGGGAAACCATCTGGTATTTTTCTTTTTCTTTCTGGCTTATTTCACTAAAGATGATCCCTTCCAGCTCCACCATGTTGCTGCAAAAGGCATGAGTTTATTTTTTTTGATTGCTGGGTAGTATTCCATTGTGTATATATACCACATCTTTTTAATCCAGTCATCTACTTTTGGGCATTTGTGTTGATTCCGCATCTTCCCTATTGTAAATAGAGGAGCAATAAAAATGGGTGTGCAGGTGTCCTTTTGATTCAATATTTTTGCATCCTCGGGGTACCTACATAGGAATGGGGTTGTTGGATCATATGGAAGCTCTATTTTTAGCCTTCTGAGAAACCTCCAAACAGTTTCCATAGTGGTTATATCAGCTTACATCCCCAGGCTTAAGGAGGTAACACCTATCCCCTAGCACCAGGTGACTGTGCTTTCATGAGTCCATCCTTAACAAGGAGGCAGTTTGACAAAACTGCCCAGTAATAGGTTCTACATCTACCTTTCAAGATATAGCTGACAACTGACATAACATACATGTAATAATACATAGTTCTGACAGGAATACTGATTTGCTGAAGACATTTTCTTCCACATACTTAAATGTGGGTGCATCTTTCTTAATTTTTTTTTGGTTGCCAAATGAAGCCCCTATTTTCAAACAGTCCCAGAAAATTTAAAAAGGACTGAAAGAAATAGTCATACCTGACATATCCAGACCCACAGTGCGAATTTATTTTTGCACTTATTTTTGAAACATACTGGGTAAAACACCAGGTGTCTTACTCTCAGAAGTCAAGCCCTTGTTTGGAGTCCAGACTCAAGTAAGACCTGAGGTCCAGAAGCTCCAAAAGAAGATTTGGGGGGAAGGGAGGTTTCACTGTGATCACAAATTTCACAGTAAGTTTGGTAATAAGACTAAATTTTTTATTGGAAGACTTAAAATCTTTTATGAAATTCACTATAAAAATTGTAAGCCTAAGAACTATTATTTTTCTTCTTCTTCTGTTTTTTTTTTTTTTTGTGACAGTTATTTACATCCAATCATCTTTGGTGTCAATCAGGGAAATCTGCTTCCACACATGTCCCAACATAAGCTTCAATGGCAGCCCTGCTCATCCAGGGTTTTATGACCTCAGACTATTTTCAAATTTACAGGGGATGGTGAGGAAACATGAGTCATCTTGAGCAACTGAACTATAATTTGGTGAATGTTAGAAAACAGCTAAACACATTTTTACTACTGGTTTTAATTATGTGCAATGTTTGGTAGTTGAAGTAGTTAAAGACTACTGCAAAGGAAATTCAAGAGACTATGATTATATGTGGTTTCCGGATAGTTTCTTTTTTTAGCTTTTAGCCCCAATTTTCTTTTTACTTTTCTCTGCTTTTATTTATCTCACCAAAGCTTACATGAAAAAAGGAGTACAGGATATATTCAGAAACTCAGGAAGCATAATTATAGTCAAGGGGAACAAAAAATTCACTTTCTGTTCACTTCATCTCGGTTTGGACAGAATTTAAGTAGCCTGAAAGTCCAGTAGGCCTCTATCATACACTATAGAGCATTAGAAAGCACTGAGGTATGAAGTGTATGAAGTGTCTGGTCAACCTTTTATGGGTGCTTCTCACCTCGATTATTGTCCCAGGCGTAGAGCTCCTTGATGCCTAGCTCACTGAGGGACTTGGAGAGTTCCAGCTCCTCATAGGTGACGTTGTCTCTCAGGAGGACCACGTGTTCAGGGCTGACCTCACACTTTGCACAGATGGCTGGGAGAATGTTCTGGAGTGGCACCTTGGGGCTCACACGCATGACAGCTTTTTGGGTTCGCAGATAATTCACTATCAAAAGCACAGATTTCTAGAACACACAGGCCCCAAAAAATTCTATAAGACATCTTTCACAATGGTGTAAACTTAATATATATTCTTATATGTGTGTGTGTATGCATGTATACATATGTATGTATGTGTAATATATACATATGTGTGTATGTGTGTGTGTGTTTGTATGTGTATATATATATCAGAATTGAGTATGGGAAAATTCTGTATATCCTGAATCTTTTTTCCATTTATGGGTCATGCCACACTAAATACAGTCATGTGTCACTTAATGACATTTCATTCAATGATGGACCACATAGAGGACACTGGTCCCAAAAGGCTGTGCCATATGGTTTTGTAACTTCTCTCTATGAAAGTGACATAATAATGAAGTCAATAAGGAACACATTTTTTGGAAAATATCCCTATTGGTAAGTGATGCATGAGTGTGGTAAACTATAGCTGAATCTTAGAATCTCTCTTACTAATGAATAAATTGCTAACCACACAAAGGAACAGACATTCAAGGAGGGATCTCACTTTATATACACTGTCTTTCAAGGATTCCCACCAGACTTGAACACAAAGCACTTAAATAATTTCTAATTGAAATTATTTTGGAAGTTCTGTGAACAATTCAATTTAAAGAAAAACCTTCAAACATGGCTTAAGTCTACTTTCCCTTTACTTTGACCTATTTTTTCCTGCTTATTTCATGATAAAATTTATTTAAAAAAAAAAAAAGAAAAACCCTCATAGCCAAAACATTCACATACATATATTAATATCTATTTAAATACATAATGTATACATAAATAACCATATACAAACTGTATATCAAGCATGTTAAGCTAGAACATAATACAGACATCCAAAAGACATGAAATATACTAGACAAGTAACAGTGGCCATGATAATCAAAGAAAATTAGTCAATTTGGCTAGAGCTTATTACAAATGACTACAAATGAAGTGGCACATTAGAAAATAGAAAGCACAGTTTCATGCATCCAGCTTTTATTTGGTTTCTGGCTATCACAGTGTTCTGAAAAACAAGAGCGTGTACGTGGATAAAAGAGCAGCTGAAGCAGACCTGCAGTCTGGCAGTAGGGGCTGAGGAACTGCAGGAGGAAAATGGAATCCACGCTCATTCTTCATGCTTCTCAAGCCAGAATCATATATAACTCTGGATTCTCCTGCCCCTGGGGGCCAGTGCAGTCAGGGAAGCCTACCATCAGGATTTCTCTTCCTTGAAAATTGATTTTACTTGAAGAATTAAGGAAAGCTTTTTCATGATGTAAATAGCACCAATTTAAAACTTACTAAGCACCTAAACCTAAAAATCCACAGGAGTGAGCTGCTGGCCAAATTTCCATTTTTAAAATGCATGAAAATGTAGTAGATAGTTCAAGAGTCTAAAGAATGACTCTGCCTTTAACTGGAATTGAAAGAGCTATATCAGAGTCTTGTTAAAATGTACATACTTAAGTTTTAATTTTAACCAATAATAAAAAGCCTGTAAAATAAATCTGTGTATTCCTATTAATCCTCCAGTCCTCCAATTATTAACAGTAAAATTTTCTAAGTTCAATTTTTCAGAAGGGAAAATGTCTCTCTCCTCCTCCCCTCCCTTCTCCTCCCATTCCCCCCCCTCCCCTCCCATTATTTCTTCCCACTCCCCAATACCAAATGTTCAAATCTTCTAAATGTCCTGATACTTAGAAGGAAAATTCTAAACTGGGACTCCAATAGGGTAGCTATGGGCAACATGGGGTTATATGAAATAAAATTAAAAGACCAGTTTTTCAGTCACATTATGTGCATTTTCTGTGCTTACTAGCTACATGCAAATAATAATACAGCACTGTAGACCACTGCAGAAAGTCTGAATGAATAGCTCTTTTTTTAGACTAATTCCCTTTTATAACATCCAAAGAAACAATGTTACAACAATGAGTATGACTAAATTCTGTACACTTCTATCTCCTGGATAATGAATTCAGAGTAATATCTATCTAACTTTACCTAGCATGGAAGCAAACTTCAACCGCAGTCCTATGTATTTGTTACTTAGATAAGGGGAGCACCAACAGCCTCCTCTTAGATAAGCCTCCTCCTTACCACCTACAATACCTAAGTCACAGACTATCTTCTTAGAGGACAAAGGGTCCCCCAATGCACTGACCTCGGGTGCGTTAGGCAGACTGGTCTTAATCTTCTCTTCAGGAACTTTTTCTTTCAGAAATACTGTGTGCACATCCAGTGTCCCAACTAAAGTATTTGGCTTAAAACTCAAAGGCTGTTCAGTTTCTGAAGACCAGATCTCAAGTATATGGTGGGATGGATTCAGATGGTTCTGAAGGCAAAGCTCAACAAGTAGGTCCATCATTGCATGACTGGTATGGAAAAAGAAAACAAAACAAGGTTATCAGGAATGTCTGCACTTTCCTTTCCACTGAACTAGGGAAGGTCAGACCCAATGAACCAGTGAATGAATGAACAAATTGGTTGAGTTCATGAAACAAGACAGCAAGGGCTCATTAACTATGCATGATTGTACAACAATATCTTAACGTTACCACTAATAACTACACTCTGAAAGAGCAACCAGTAGTCAAAAGCATAGAAGCTGGGAAAATAGTTACATTTCCAGTTAAGTTTGTGGGTTTGTTTTACCTGAGTCAGAGGGAAGCAGCCTGACACACATGGCTGAAGGCCACCCTGCCACACTCTCCTTTGGGAGTCTCCTGGGATGACCCAGTTCGATGGACAAATAAAAGACAGTAAGTACTAAAGATTGATGAACCAAAACCAACACCAAGAAAACAGCAGTGGAAACGATTTAGGAGGCGGGTCTCTCAGTTTTTCTCTTCCACTGTTTCTTTATATCTATCTCTTCCACATTATTTCTCTCTTTGTTCCCCCACATGTCTCTTAAGTGCTCCTAACATAAAGTGCAAATTATAAAATGTACTTTTGAGCATTTTTATGGTGTCTATTTTTTTTCCAAATTATGTTTATTGCAATTTGTATTTGCTCCAGTGGTTAGAAGTTCAAACCTCTATCAACATGCACTTTTATAATCTGTCTACACCATTTATTTTTTAAAGATTTATTTATTTATTCATACAGAACTGGGATACAGGCCAGAGATGCAGAGGGTGAGAGGATTCACCAGGGACAGAGTGGGGAGCAGAATAGGCAGATCAATGAAGCACACTGCTGAGGGGAGCAGCGGGCGGGTCAGGAGAGGTCTGCCACACCATGTGGATCCTCCTTCGGGGCAGGCGGGGATCGAACTCATGTGGAAGTGGCTTAAGCTTCTTAGTGAAGTGCTTTAATTTCGCTGCGCCACCAGGGAGGGCCATCCACCACCATTTTTAAACTTAAAAAGTGAATGTAAATTTTCTAATTCATTTAATTTTTTTCCCCCCAGATGTATAGAGGCTTCAAAAAATGTTTGCACATGAATCAGGGTCTTCAGTAAGAAAAGAATGGTCTTACTTCTTTCTTAGCTGGTGGCTTTGAGAATCATGGCAGAAAGGTAGACAGTCCTGAAGAACCTGTGCCTACACTCTAATTCCCTAAAGAGAGAAGGTTCACAGAGACAGATGGTAGAGAGCATGATGCTTTGGGGCCCAACTATGGTGGAGGACTATGGGTGCTTTTGTGGGTTTCTGGGTAAACCAGTGTATCTGAAGAGGTATGAATCTGTATCTATGGATCAAATACAGTGTTGTTAATCATTGTTACCTCAATTAAAAAATGCAATATAAAATAAAATTATTTTATGGGAAAGGTGGACAAAAACATTGAGAACTATTGCCTCCGTATATTACTAGGATTAGAGCTGTTGAGTTTACCGTAGAAAGTCATACCAAACTGTTTTTCACAGTGGTGCTTCCAGAGAGGTAGGCAAGTGCCCCTCAGTGGCTCTCCTCTTGTCCCAAAATAAGGGCTCTGGTACAAGTAGTATCTACACTGGATTCAAGCTCATTCCCTGGCTTGTAGCCTCATGGTTTGTGGAACCTTCACTCTGTACTATTTGCCTGGTCATAGTTTCCAGGATGCAGGCAAGAGATGTTCAAGTTGTAAGAATTCCTATTTTGGTTTTACAGAGTGATTAAGAAGCATGTCATATTATTATAGTTCTAAACACTGCCATAACAGATGTGTGAAACTTTATTAGTGAATGTATTATGTTCCTAAATTTCTATTCTTATAATTTTGGTACAACTTTAAGCTACATAATATAACATTTTATTGAGATTTAATTAATAAAAGCTATATATGTGTTTGTACATATATATGTATGTATGTATATGTATATTATATATATATATATATACATATTAAGATTTATTTATTTATGCAAACAGAACTGTGGTGCAGGCCAGAGGTGCAGGGGCAGTGAGAGGATTCACCAGAGACAGAGTGGAGAGCAGAACAGGCAGATCAACGAAGTACACTGCTGAGGGGAGCAGTGGGAGTGTCAGGAGAGGTCTGCCAAGCCATGTGGTCACCTCCGGGTCTGGGGATCAAACTCACACTGAAGCAGCTGGGGCTAGCTTGCAGTGGTGAGCTTTCAGGGAGGGTGCATGATTGTATATGTTTTTACAGTCTGTACAAGATAATACACTAAGCTACATGCTTCACTTATTAGTTCTGAATGGCTCAGAATCTTGAAAACTTGGTTTTGATTCAGTTTGTGGACTCCAAACTCTCTACTGCTACATATCCCCATGTTTAAACAGTAGGAAAAATAATGTGCTTTTTTTTTTTCAAGGGCGTGTGCCTCCACATAACCTCTGCACCCTGCTCACCAAGTCTGTGGCTAGGTCAACAACCCTGCTACTGTTGCCCTCTCCAGGACACACACCTCAGCTCTTCTCTCTAGCTACCTGTTCACTGTGATGTGAAACTCTTCAGTATACAACCTGTGTAAGTCTGCACTGATCTCTGCTGTCTAAAAAACAATCAATTCCACTGTTAGCTACAGGACTGTTTCTCAGACCTGTGTCACTCTGACTAGGTGCTCCAAGAGTAGAATCAACCAGTGGAATCCAGGCCCTGTCATTAGCGCTCTGGCTGGCATCTGGGCTCACATAACTGGGGCCAGAGGCAACTGGACACTGTAGGTCAGGAAGATCACAGCCAATGGCTGGTGGCTTGAGGCTGGGCTCTTAAGCTGGCATCTGGGGGCCAGGAGCTGCATCATTCTTTACTCATGCAACTAGTGAATAAGGAAGGGCTTTTCTGTATGTGGCGGGAGACTGAAGTGGCAGATTGGCAACTGAAGGCTAGGAGCAGTTCACTTCTTGCTGACACAGCTGGCAGCTGGAGGTTGGGTTTCATTGGCTATTGATGGATACTGGGGCCTTTCTAGCTCTCTTGAAGCAATAGCCAAAACATAGAAACAACCTTTGTGTCCAAATGATGGAAAGAAAACACAACACAACTTAGTCATTTGCAACAAGATGGCTATACCTTGAGGGCATTATGTTAAGTGACACAAGTCAAATACAGAAACACAAGTACCCTATGATCTTACTTACATATGGAATCTAAAAGGAAAGAAACAAAAAGACATGTGCATAGATTAACAGATACAGAGAATAGAGAGGTAGATGCCAGAGCTCGCTATAGAGGAGAGAGCAAAATAGGGAAAAGAGGTCAAAGGTAATAACCACAATAATACAAAACAGATCAAAGAACATAATCATGATGCTTTAATAAGTACAGAATATAAAACTCTAAATTCTATTGGTAATTCAAGTCTTTACACTGTGACATTATTTCATGGTGCCTTCTGTGACTGCAGGTGGGAGAAGAAGGCATATGGCTTGACACACAGCACACAGGCAGATCAGATCTAAGAGAATGCAGGAGGAAATTCTGGGTCTGAAACTGATTCCCTTAAATTTGAAATCAATGGATGGGATGTTATTCCTTCATTTAAACCTGAATTATTTTCACTGGAAAAACTGCCAGATGTATTTACAAGGCCCTGGGTCATTTCATGAGTGGGTACTTGAATGGGTCATTCTGAAGCTGCCCTGCTGGCTAGATGGCTTTGGCCCTACAGACATGGCCAGCAAGGAGGCTGGCGCCCTCTTAGGTGTTGCTCAGGAGCCTGTGCACTTGCCTTCCTCCGGAAGAAGTGACTGTGCAGCCCTGGCTCTCCTGTGGACACGGGGAAGCCACGAGGGGCCAGTAAGTACAGTCATTCCAGGGGACATATTTTAGGTTGTCATCTAGATCCCAGACTTCTACCCCGCATCCAGGACCTAATCTGACCTGACACAGGATCCACTCTTCAGTTCTCTGTAGATCTACAAACTGTTGGCAGTGATCCTTCCCTGAGGCACTCAGACTCCTACCTGCCGTTGATCACACTCTTCTTCTCCATCCCACTGGGCAGTACCACGGTGATGTCCAACACACTTTTCTGCAGCTGCTCCTTCATCATGAGCAGGTTCTGTTGGGAGCCAGGAGACACATCTCGGGGAGGTTTCTGCTCACTGAAAATATTCGGGGAAGGAGTCTTCCCAGGAGGTGGGGGAGCTCGAGCCTTCATCTTCTTCCTTAAAAATAACAACACAGGACTGATTGAAGTGGCAGCTCAAATTATGAAGTTAGTAGTAATTTATACCACCTTAAGTACTTTCATCTGAAAAAGTCCTTCTTACAAGTATTTATCTCTACTCAGAAACACCTTCTAAATTGCTTGACCTTTTTAAAGTCAGTATCCCGGCATTCAATGGTACAGAAAATGGACAACTAAGAAAAATACAGGCAGCATTTGTGACAGGAAGCATTATTGAAAAGAAACAGCCTAAACACATCTTCACTCCCTGGGAGTAACATGATTATATTTTTTTCAGATCAAAGTGCAGGTCGGTGTAGCAGTAATTGCTTGGGGCAGCCCTTTCTGAAACACTGAATGGTCTATAAATCTCAAGTATGCAGATTCCACTAAAGGAATCTTAAACTCCTTAATTTAAGACTTGGATTCTTGCATCTTCTATGAAATTATGACCACCCGAAGGACCCAGTATCCATAGGCTCAGGATACTGAGAAAGTGCTGGAGTCTTGTTGCTCACTAAGTTAGCCAGAAAGGATATCAGACCAATATTCACTGACAAAGCCCACTGTTGAGCACTGTTTGATTCAAAGGGATATGGGTGACAGTACTAATGCACCCCTTTCCTCTCTGTTTTCACCTGAAATCTGGCTGTACTTTGAATTCACAAATCATTTTGTAGGAGATTAAACACTGATAATAAGACACCCACTTTGATTTTTTGAAATTCTTAACTCTTCCAGATTACTCAAGGGAGGCAACCAATTTTAACCTATTTGGTAATTAATTTATACACACACACACATATGTGCATGCAGGAATATGCATTATGCATATGTAAATACATTTATATACTTATTTACATATAAGCTTATTTATATGTAAGGACCTTATTTCATTTAAGTCCTGGGAATTTTACACTAATTATTACATTAATTAGCATCAGAATCTATGCTCAAAATAACCTTAGGGTGTTCATCTTATTTATTTCTCAAAATATTTTGCATTTAAGGGGGCTGACTGCCAGAGGCCTATAGCTCCCTTGAAGGCATGCAGGTAGGAGCAAAAGCTGACTCACTTACTTACTCCAAATGACTTTCTCCAACCTATCACTCTATCCCCCACCTCTTCCCATTGTACTACATGTAGAGGTTCCCCAGAGAGACAAGGATCCCTGAAGATCTTCAGATGAGACTGCAAACTACAACCACTCAGGTCTCTGGTTAATACCACATTTAGAATAACATCCAAATCCCATCCTCTAAGTTGACATAAATTAATTTTCAGTATTTCCTTGTTCAAAGCCTTAGATCATATTTCTTTATATTTTTATTTTTCATTTATTTATTCCTAACAGTAACACACTGCAGAGGTATCATCATTCCTGCTTTACAGATAAGGAGGAGACACAGATTTTCAAGCAGACACAGATTTTCAAGCACACAGAGTGGCAGAACTCACATCAAACTCAAACATTTGGTTCCAGAGCCTAAAGTTTTACCCACTGCTTTGTTACTGAGCCTCTGGTAGGAAGAACAGATGTCACTCCATTGTGTAAAGGGAAAATCCAGACACAGAGAAATAGGTACCAAGTATTCAGCTGATCATGCTAAGCCCAAGGCTAAGAAGTCCACTTGTTATTAGCATGCACTCTCAACGGTCCTTTCCGAAAAGAAATGTGTTTATCATTTTTTAAAAATGAAATGAACTTTATTTCTGGATTTTTTAAAAAAAGTATTTATTTATGCATACATAATGGGGATACAGGCCAGAGGTGCAGCGGTAGTAAGAAGATTCACCACAACAGAGTGGGGAGCAGAAAAGACGGATGGACGAAGTCCACTGCTAAGGGGGGTAGTGGCGAGACAGGTGAGGTCTGCTGAGCCATGTGTGTCACTTGCCTGGCCGGTATTGAACTCATGCTGAAGCATGCAACTAGCTTCATAGAGTTGCACTTCAACCAGCTGTGCCACCTGGGAGGGCCCTACTTCTGAATATTAATAAAGCTGACTTGCCTTCCCTTAGAAGAGAACTGAGAAAGGAGTCAGCAGAAGGTAGGCAGAAGTTTCCAATCATTTCTCATCTTTCCAAAATAAACAATACCCCCAACCACCCAGACTCAACCTGTGATACTACTTCCATCCACTCTTTCCTCTCTACATTGGTGCTCAGGTTACACAATACAGCCTATTCCTATACTCCTGCCTCTTATCCATCAATTCTCAGCACACTACAATTTCTTCACTCCGCAAATACGTGCTGCAAGCCAACTTGGAGTGCTGTGCAGTTCATGCCTGTCTGTGCATACAGCACACTCTGACTACATCTGCAGTTGGCCTGTAGCATATTCTAGCAGGCTACAAGGTACTGGGAGCTCTCCTTGTTTCTGGTGCAGTATATGCAGGTGTGTGTATATTTAAACCAGCAGTAGAAAAACTACATTTCACACTAACAAAATACATTTCTGAGTTTTTGAAAAATAATACACATAAAACAAAAATATCTAAGTTTCTGAATGTTTTCACAGCAAAAGTGTGCTGTGTATCTGCATCTGAGCCTGTAACTACAAATCATCATACACCTGTCATATTCAGGGGTAGAACTGACTGCCAAATCACCAGGAGAGACTGACGATCAGAGTTCTACACTGACCCCCTTCAATCCTGAACTAGCCCCATCAGAACTAGCAATAGGTCCCAGAAATTTAGCAAAAACCCTCTTGTCTTTGATTTCTTATGTGCTGTGCCTTGTATCTGCACTCTTGAAGATACAGTTCAACCACAACTTCTGAAAGTGCTTTGGACACTGCCTCAAGACATGGGTGGCTAAAACTAGGATTCTCTCCACTCAATAAAAGCATTTGGAAGCATCACAAAAGCTCATATGTCCCCAGGGACCAATCAAGTGAAATTATAGAGCAAGTGTTTATTAACAAGTCACAACATCTCTTTAGAACAGAAGCCCCTTATTAACATTAAAATGGTACCTTCTTTTAGTTGTAACTTTTAAATCATTTCATAAAATTAACTAATATGTTTAATACACATGTTGATAGGTTGATGAGTTTGTGCTTTTATTTCAATTCAGAATAGCATTTGTATATTTTGAGAAGTACACATGAAAAGTGTTCATATTGAAAAGGACACCTGAGGTGCACAGGGTTCAAGGGCTCTATGTCTGTCCATGAGCACACAGGCCCTGGGGAGGCACTGGATGGATAGACCCACCATGCAGGCATTAGTCTCTCTCTCTGTAGCATTCCAGGTCCTCCTTTCATTTTTTTTCAACTATTTTTAATATCTAGAGGAAGTAGCAGATGTTCTATTAAAGGTGCCAATATTCTCAATATTTAGCATACTGCTCTTCATATCTGTTAGTTTTTTTAAATACTTATTGATGATAATGCCAACAAAGAATGATAGTGCTGTGTTCTGTGAGGACCAAAAGAAAAAATATTATTATAGTGCACATCACAGGAGAAGGCAAACCATACTAGGTATGGTTTGACTTTCAAAAGGAAGGCATTTCTGAAAAATCTATGACATGAACAGAGTTTCAGGACATTATGCTCAATTAAATAAGCTGAACACAAAAGACAAAATACTAAGATTGCCAACTATATGGGGATCTCTAGAGGAGTCAAATTCATGATGACAGAAAGCAGGATGGTGGGTGCCAGGGGTGGGAGATGGGGAATGACTTAATAGGCATGGAATTTCAGTTTGGGAAGATGGAACATCCCTGGAGATGGAGGTTCATAACATTAATGAACTGCATACTTAAAAATGGTTAGGGTGGTAAACTTTATGTTACATGTATTTTATTATAATTTTGAAAATCATTGTTAGGATTAAATTTTCATTCCTATAATTTTACTGATTTATAATTGTCAGCCCATTCTTCATTTTTTGTCCCCTACTACAAACATAGACTCCACCTGAAACATAGCAGAATAAAGAGGTTGGAAATTCAGATACTGCCCTTTCCACTGGGAGACCCAAGCATTAGAGATCATAATCTCCAGAATAGAAGAGCAACAGGGAAATACAGTGAGAAATGAAGACAACCAAGGCAGAGAGTACAAATTACGGTGAACAAAACAAGAAATAGATACAACTAGTGTTACTCCTCAAACCAACAGAGTGTGAAAGCTCTCAACTTCCTTCCTACACCCACCACACCAAGGTAAGTAAGAAGAGAACAAAGATAAAAACCATGTTCCAACCACATACACGTAAGTAGCCATCAATAAGACAATATACATGCCTAGGAAGCAAGGAACATCTCAACACAAGATGGAAATGAAAATGAGAAGGACAGGAGTCAGGGACTATGTATAAAAGAGACAGAAAAAGAGAAATATTTGACAGCAACTTCAAGACAACAATATCAAAAATGTTAAGGTAGATAGGAAGATGTAAGATCTCAGAAAGGTGATCCAGGAACAAAGAAAGTTCTTCACTAAAGAGACTGAATATATAAAAGTTAACAAAAAGAGATTTTGAATGAAATAAAGACAAAAATTACTTTAATAGAATCAAAAAGGAAGAATTTCAGCTGGTAGAAGACTCAAATGAACAAATAACACATTTAGAAAAATAGAGTGTTACCACAAAGGAAAGATGAGGAAACTGTATGAGAAATATATTTAATTAGAAAAGAAAACCTACAAATGATGAGACTCCCAGAAGGGGAAGAAAAAGAAATAAAACTAGAAAACTTACTTTAAAAAGTGAAAACTTAGCAAACCTATAAAATGAACTCTATATTGAAGCCCAGCAAACAGAGAGAACTCTTAAATTCTTAGGTGCAGAAAGATCTGCACTCTGATACACCATTGCAAACTTTCAACAATTAAATATAAAAAAAAATTCAGGAAGCCAGTGAAAAAATAATATCCTATAAGGGCTTCCAAATTAGGATTTCTGCCTATTCTCCAAGAGAAGCATGGAAGAAAATATTCACAATCTTAAAAAATAAGAACTCCCTAACTGTAAATT